CCTCCCTTCTCCTAAGCCTAATCTTGAAGCCTCGGTTGGAAACCTCACAAACTTACTCTGCTCTCTCAAAGCCTCTCTCTGTAACTCTCTGTATCTATATTACATGAGTAAGGTTTTTCCAACCCTTAATACAGATTATGACTATGTATATATAGGCGTAAAAATCCTAAACCCTAATCCTTGTTTAATTAGAGACAGAGCCCTAATTCTAATCCTAGTCGGCCCATGAAACTATCTCTGTTACCATAGTGCGGCTTACCTATACGTGAATTGCAACGCAAAGTTAACTGTAACTTAAAACATAATTAAATTAAATCCAATTAAATAATTAAATACACTTAACCAATTAATTCCAATTAAATAACCCAATTAATCAATTAAAATACTTAAACAATTAATTCTAATTAAATAACCCAATTAATCAATTAAAACACTTAAACAATTAAATCAAATAATAAATAAAACAATTAAACCAAATAATCACCCAAAAATACAATAAAATAATAAATAAAATGCCGAGACTATCCTTTTAAAATTAGGGGTATTACAATTGGTGGCAAAGGGTTATAGTCAAAAAGAAGGTATGGATTTCTATGAAGTATCCTCACCAGTTGTGAAACACACCTTTATCCGCATGTTGTTTCCTATGGTTGCTCAATTTGACTTGGAGCTTGAGCAACTTGATGTCAAAACAGCTTTTCTACACGGTGAGCTTAAAGAAGAAATTTATATGCATCAACCAGAGGGGTTCATTGTTCAGGGAAAGGAAGACCACGTTTATTTGTTGAAGAAATCTTTGTATGGGTTGAAGCAATCTCCAAGGTAGTGGTACAAGAGGTTTGACACTTTTACGGTTGGACATGGCTATTTGAGAAGTAGCTATAACAGTTGTGTCTACTACCGAAAGCTCTCAGATGGTTCTTTTATGTACTTATTATTATATATTGATGACATGCTTATTGCTGCAAAAGACATGTCAGAAATTAACAAGTTAAAATCTCAGTTGAATACTGAATTTGAGATGAAAGATGTCGGTGTAGCGAAGAAGATTTTGGGCATGGAAATTCAGAAGGATCGTCAAGCTTACAGATTGAGTTTGTCACAGAAGAGTTATATTGAGAAAGTGCTTGAGCGATTCAACATGCAGAATTCCAAGCCTGTGAACACACCACTTGCTGCCCATTTTCGTCTTTCTGCAGCTTTACCACCACAGTCCAAAGAGGAGAAGGAACATATGTCACGTGCTCCTTATGCTAGTGCAGTTGGTAGCTTGATGTATGCAATGGTTTGCACTCGCCCTGATATTTCACATGCAGTCAGTGTAGTTAGCAGATATATGGATAATCCAGGAAAAGAGCATTGGCTAGCCGTGAAGTGGATTCTTCGGTATTTGAAAGGTATTGCAAATATTGGCTTAGTTTATTAGAAAAGCAGTGATAATTTTGGCAGTGTTGTTAGTTTTGTGGACTCCGACTACGCTAGTGATTTAGACAGAAGAAGATCTCTGACAGGATATGTCTTTTCACTCTCAGGTTGTGCAGTTAGTTGGAAACAACCTTGCAATCTACAGTTGCTCTCTCTAGTACAGAAGCAGAATATATGGCGGCCACTGAAGCAGTGAAGGAAGCCATTTGGTTGAGAGGTTTGGTTAGTGTTTTGGGTTTGCAGCAGAGCTCAACTGTTATTTATTGTGATAGTCAAAGTGCGATATATTCGACCAAAAATCAAATGTATCACAAGAGAACCACGCACATTGATATCAGATATCATTTTATTCGGGATATCATATTAGAAGGACATTGAAGAAAATTGGCACAGTTGAAAATCCGGCAGATATGATGACAAAGTCCATTCCGGCTTTAAAGTTCAAGCATTGCTTGAACTTGGTTGGTATTCTCAAATATTGAAATTGCCCTTAGGGGCTAAGTGGAGAAGACAGTTTGCTGAGATACAGTGGCTCATTTGAATTTTCGTGTGACGTTTCCGATTTTCAGCATTTTTCAATTTTCCGAATTCTTGTCGCCGCAAAGGCATTTTCGCTTTTTCACATTTTTCGTACGGGATTGTGGTTGGGTCCAATTTCATTTATATGGATTAAGTGGTATTTGTAAGTGGTGCATTTATATGTGTATGGTATAGAAATTGGAGTAAAAGAAAAAGGGAAAAGAAATTCAAAAGTGGTGGGACCCACCACTATATCAAAAGTGGTCTAGAGACCACATTTCCAATCTTCACTCTCTCTCCCCGCTGGTTCTCTCTCTCACTCTCTTGCTTTGCTTTTCCTTTTTCTTTTCCCATTCAATCTTTGAAGCTTAGTAACTCTCTCAATACTTAGTGATTTTGGAGGCCGTTTGAGGCAAAACGAAGAGCACGACAAGCTCTACGCGTGTGTACCAGAAATTCCAAATTTGGTGCTCCATGGTGCCTTCGAATTTCTTGACCCATTTCAAGGGTTTTTCTCATTTTTGAGGTAGGGGTTCTTAATACATGAGATTCTTGTGCTTTAGCTAGTTACCTCCTTTTGAATTGCTGCTAGCATGATTAATTTATGTAGAATCTAGCAAATCCATAGATGTTGTGTATAATTGCTAATTGTGATCATGTGTATTAAATGTCCTAAGTGAAGAGCATGCTTAAGTGTTGTGTTTTAAATGTTTATCATGATAAAACCTTGTTGTATAAAAGCATGATATGAACTTCTTGGTAACCCTTGCAAATCATGCTTGGTTGATTAAAGTTTGCACTAGTTGTAGGATGATAAATATGTACATATACATGGCATTAATGCATCCATGCATTTGGCATTGGGCATGAAAGGTGACGAATTTTTTTGAAATGAAAATAGGGAAATTTTGGGAAAGTGATTTGATGAAATGGTTTTGAGAAAACCCGGTTGCCGCAGGGGTACCAAAGGGCCGGAAGGTTAATATAGCCTAGAGAGAACTAGGGAGACTGCCCTAGCGTGGTTGAGCTAGCTGGGCCCCATAATGACGCCGCGGGGGTACCAAGGGTCAGGGACACTAGCCAATCCTTCTCTCGTGTCAGTGCAGGGTCACCAAAGGGCGGGTTATATTAACAGTTTGAAAGTGACGGTTTTGAAATGAAATTGGGGAGAGACATCGGCATTGCATTGCATTCCATTGCATCACTAATTATGTTGAGATTGGTTGTCATATGGTATTATCCCGGTTCAGTATGATCCCTATTTCCTATTACTCTATTCCTTGTATGGATTCAAGGGGACACAAGAGGCGTGTCTTAAGTGCCACCTGCTGAGCAAATTACTCGCCCCACATACTTAATATGTTTCAGGTTATGACAAAGAAACGGCGGATGAAAATCCACCACTGAATTGAAGGAACTTAGAGAGCATTTTGGTTGTACTTTGTAGAGCTTGAGCTTGTTTTGTGTAGTACATGTAATAAGATGTATCAAGTTCATTGGGCATGTAAATGATGATGTATTACTTTTGCAACATGTAAAATATTTGAACTTTAGCATATACATGGCCAATGGGATAATGTAATTAAGTTTTACCATCATTTGATCCTTTAAGTGTATTTTAGTGACGTGTGGTAAATTACGTTACAACGTGACGGTTGGTATTGTATGAAATGTTGAAACGTATTTAAAATTGTACATGAGTGTAGTGGCGTGGGTGGTTGATCCAAAAAGTGGTATATTCTATTTTTCTTTGGACAGTGGCAAAATGAGTGACCGGTCAACGTAAAATTTCATACGTCGACCGAGTTGCATGAACCAGTCAACGTGTAGCTTCCCACAGGTCGGCCAGTATCTTGCCAGTAGCTATCTCTCTTGGTGCACGTCTCAAACCAATCGACGTGTAGCTTCCCACACGTCAACCGGTATCTCGACAGTGGGCTTTCCACTTTTCATAACCCAAACCAGTCGACATCTAATGTGTATACATCAACCAGTTCCTGTGTAATAATCAATTGTGGCTTATTTTCCAATTTTGCCCCCACTCACTCACTGGAGTGTACTTGTTACACATTATATGACTCAGTATAATGCAATAATTAAACTTTAACGCTAGAAAAGGATCATTATTATTATCTTTATTATTATCATTATTATTATTATTTTTTATAAGACCCAAGTAAATGACTATTGTGCCCTTTGAGTTTCAAACCATTTGAATTGAGGCAAGGTACCAGCTTGCCCTTCTTGAACTTGAATTTGCAAATAAAATGTGAAAGGACTATGTTACCCTTGGATGATTTTGGATCGTTACAGGACCCGTTTAATGATCTGGATCCATGAGGATTTGGGTCGTTACAGAATGGTATCAAAGTCTTAGGTTCAAATACCTTTCGGACGACGGGTAGTGGCTTACCTAGAAAGGGTGAAAAGTTGACTTGCATCGTTTATGTGCCTATGTGTTAAAGTGTTCACCGGATAAGTTAGTGTCAAAGTCTTTTGACGGAGACATTTGTGTAGAGTATGGTAGGGTCAGCCGGGTGGTGGAGAGAATTACATGTAAAAATTTCTCGGTGGAGGCAGCCGTGTACATGAAGGAAATGGTGAATGATTTACTGCACGTCTATTCAGAAACCCTCAAAATTTATACTTGGGAAGTGTTGTTGATTCAATTTGCTATTTTAGATTTTATCTTTCTGTTATTGTAATATACACAAGCCATTGTCAAAGGGTTTGTGGCCTGAAGATTGTTGGAAATCTAGAAGTATATTTAATCAAGCAAAGAATGTTTTTGTGCAATGCTTTACTTGTAAATTAGCAAATATCACAGCATTTTATGTCGACGCATTTGACTTTCACCGGTATCTATTATGTGGTACCTCCAATGTACAATCATATATATATATTTCATCAAAAACTCCCTCTTGTTTCTCCATTATCAATGCAAATTGAGAGTTTCTATAACCGTTCGTTGATTGGGGATACCACATGTAAGGGTATTGTATGCCTTCTCGTATTGTCCATGCAATATCTACAGTAAACTTTGTCTCACACCAAAATAAATGAATGGTATTATCATTGAGAATTATAATAAGTCAATACACCTGCTTTTATAGTCAATCATACTTGAACAAAAAATTAATATAGTTTGATCCATTACCAATTTAAATTGCTCATGAACCAACCCAATCCCAGAAGAAAAACTGCCGATCAAACTCCAGTGAGGAAACGCCCGTAGCTCTTTTTGATTAATGATACGCTCAAAATGTCAAAATTGAATGAGATCACAATAAGAAGGCTGAGTGTCTCATCGATTCTCGTGGCTTTATGTGCCAAAGCTACGGTCTCCTGCATCTCCAAGTCCAGGAATTATAAACCTGAAAATACCCAAATAATATGTAGGTCAAGCAACATTAACACAACTCTGCAATTAGTGAATTCCTTTTTGTTGTAACAAGTCGACATACTTACCCTTTGTCATTAACAGTCGGGTCAATCATTCCAGCAAATACGTGAAGCCTGTAAAATCACAGTGATAGCCACCATAAAACCTGAGAGATGTGCCTAAATATTTTTCTATACAAAATTAAATTTAGCAATATTATTACCCAGGGAACTTCTCACTGAGCTTTTGAAGGGCTGGAGGAGCAGCGACAGCAGATACCTGTGACACGGCAATTCAAATTAACACAGTAAACATGATTGGCATGCAAGAACTAAACAAAAACATGAAAAACAGTCGTGCAAGTGCATTTACTCTTGGACGGAGAAGCAGATCATTTCACACATTCAAGATTAATCAACAATTCTTTGAGCATAAATTTCCCATTCCCTCCCTATACTCTGGTCTAGACAATGACTACCAATGATCGGAAGAAACATAAAGCATTCTTGGATATCCATTGACGCTTACCAAATTGGTAGCATTTTGCACGAGGGTGTAAAAAACTCTATTAGGGGCAAGAAGAAAGATTTTAGAAAACATTCATAGCCTGTACAGGGCATGCGTGGACCTGTCTAAATTAACTGTCCCATAATGTAATTCTTGTAGTGAAGAGTTCATTTTGGACAATTCTATACAAGCTCTATATATTCTTGGCCAATGAAGAACTGGCAGACAACGTTCAACAGATAACACTGCAATATGCGCTTACCACTTTAATTTGCTTGTTGTCAACACCGCGCTCCTTTATCAAGTCAAGAGCAGCAACTACTGTGCCACCTAAAAATAATACCATATAAAATGAATTGAATATAAAGGTTATACTAAATCAAGCATACAATCTCTCTAAGATCTCAAGACATAAACAGAGGACAGCATCATAGATGCAACAATTAAGCTAATGGTTGTATAGACATGAATGCCGGCTGTTGAATATGTACAAACATAAAGAACGATGAGGTCATATGTGCGTGTGCAGGGGCAGAGCAAGGAATTTGGTTCGGGGGGCATGTTAAGCCTAACAAAAAAATATTTTACCAACATATAATAGTGTAACAACAGTGCATTACAAAAAGTTAATAAAAAATTAATAAGAAGATAAAAAAAAAAGGTTATTGCACATAAATTATGCATGAGTGCAAGAAAAAAGAAATGTTTAAGAAGAAGAAATAAAAAGGAAAAAAGATGAGAGAATTTTGAAGGAAAAAATATGCTTTAATTGTAGAAAGAGAATGCAAAAGTTTTTGAAGAGAACAAAAAGAAATTAGAGAAAAGAATTAAAGAATTAAAGAGGTTTTTAGAAATAGATAAATTTATTGGGTGGGGGGGATTTTAGGGGGCATTTAATAAATATTTACAAATTATATGCATAAAATATAGTGGACTCAGATGGGCCCAGGGGCAGAGGGGGCATTTTATCAATTTTAGGGGGGCATTTATCAATTTCTACAATGTGCATGTGTGTGTGAGAGAGAGAGAGAGTAAAAACAAAGAACTGAGAATATTCAGCATCATCATTGAACTTCTGAAACTATAACCCGAGAATGAATGTTAGAATGACTACAATTAAGGGTTTAGTGCATATAAATTCATTAAGTTGTGGTATGAAGATGTTTTTTCTTTAGAATTTTCTCAATGATCTTATATTATAAAGCCTTTCCAATTTTAACAACGATCTTCTCTTCTCTTCACCAAAATGGAATACATGGGTCTAGCAACAACAAAACTAATTCAAGCCAAGCTTTTGCCAAAAACTGTGTAAGCAAAGTCTAGTTGCATACACAGGCTCACCTAAGTCAACCAAGTTTAAACATACCCTCATCCTACTAATTCGAGACCAAACAAATCAATACTGGCTTAGTCCATTTGCAGCCTGCATTAGCCAGTATTTGAATTAAGGGATTTGGATGAAGCATCTCAGGATTTGGGCCCCAAAGGCTAAGTGCACGGTATGAAATTCAAAAAATTTGGATTTATATGTACCAAAAATCCATAGGTCCAATTTAGTTAGCAGGTGAGTACATCAAAGTGAAAATTTTGCATTTCTCTTGAGAAGTAAAAATCAATTTGAGGTAAAGATGCATGGATAAAATAAGCACTCAAGAGTGTCCTGCAAGGTTATAGATTTACTCAAAAGTAGTTGGGGTGAAAAAAACAAAAAACAAAACATCTTGCTACACCATAGAGAAGTTGCTACTTCCCCTCAAATACCACAGCATATTATTTCTTGGATTCATATTAACATAGATCTGAATCCTATGAAGACCACCATTCCACTCCCACCAGTGCTACCAATATGGCAGAAAGTGCACAATGGATAATCTAATCCACAACTTGAATTAAGTTAGATGGATCTAGAACACTATACTACATATAAGATATTGCACAACTCAGACAGCCACATCAATCTACCAGTCCTTTTTTTCTTTCTTTTTTTCAATTATTCAACAAGAAAGAAAAATATAAGTTCATCAGGCAGGAGAGGGTGATGTTCTACAACATAAATTGGATTATCAATTTATCACATTTATAAATTCTGGGTTTTTCTAATGAAATTTGGGCCTTCAAATTCTAATAAAAGGACGCATAGATATGGTGATAACCAAAAGTAAATTAGTCAATAGAAATTGCAAGGTGTTTGCATGGAAATCTAGTCTCTATATAGGCATCCATGGCTTTTATGGGAAAATAGGTATTGTTCTAGTGATTAATTAATTGAAATCAAAGGGAAGTGAAACAGAGATCATCTTTTATAGGAAATACGAAAATGAAAAAAAAAATAAAAAAAATGATATGAACAAATTTCTGCTCCTCCTCTGTATAGGTGAGATGAATGCTAGGTTAAAATAAAAAGAAGAAGAAAAAGAAGAAGAAGAATAAATAAATAATATATATAAGAATTATCAGTTATCAAAGGAGATGAAGTGAGAGAACAAAAGCTTTAAAAATGGATGAAGTGAGGTTGTGAGATGTGAAAGTGAATAAAGGGATGCTTGTGTACTGAGACAGCAAAAACAAAGGGGGGAATGTATATATGGCTACAGTGGCCACTGCCATGACAGTAACATATGGTTCCCATCCTTAATTATCTTGCCATCATGTATCAGCCCTCCTGCCTTGTCCTCCTTTCTGCCTTTTCTTTTTTCAAGTTTTCAGGTCATACTCTATTGACATGAGTTTGCATTTAAACAGTCTGTCCAAATTTTGAAGACGCCACATGTCTAAATAACAGAGAAAACGTTGCTCGGTGACTGTCCAAGCAACCACTAGTCCTCTCTCATATTGCCATTACATGAATGTGAGGATCGTTGTCATTTCACTTTATAATGGTCATGCAAGGGATTCATTGTAAATGATGAAATTACAACTGCTGCCACATGGTATGAGCGATGATGGCTATATGAGATAACTTCTGGAGTTAAATACAGTACCAGTAGGACAAGGTTTCATATGTACAGCGAGGACCAAAGTATGTCCTTAATCTTCTCTATTGCCAATTAATTATTTCACATTCTCACCTTCTTCAGTTAAACTCCATATTAAATTTTCAACATGTTTTGAAATTATCAGCATAATATTGGTGATGAAAATTTGCATTATAAGATAAATGAAGTTTCAATTACATTTATTAAAAAACTAACTGATAATTCCATTCTCTGAAGCTCCATCTCTCTTTACCTTTATAAATCCTAAATAATACCTCAACAAAGGGGAAGAACTATGATAGCAAAAAATAAAAAGAAAAATAAACAACTATAAAGAAAATTTAAGATAAGAATTCATTCAATTTTGTTTCACTTAATTCCTTGAGAAAGTATTAAGTTCCTCAGTGGCCAAAATCAAATGTATCTTATTCTACACATCCCAAATTATAGAAGATAATAAGAATGGAAACAAATTTTAGACCAACTTGCATCTTCAAACTAAAGCAAGGGTTACAGAAAAATCAGAGACGTTAATACAATCACACATATCCAAAAGTGTCTCCAATACATGAGAATATGAAAATAATAATAACAAAGAAAAGGTTCTGCCTAACAAATATATCGAGCCTAACAAGAAGAGATTGAAACATAGGAAGAATAGCAGTACCTGTTGCCAGCATAGGATCTACAACAAATACTCGAGATCCTTCAGGAAACTTGTCAGGTAACCTGAGATGCAGGAGCCAAATGTGTCAAAATATTAACTACAAGACTGGTCAGAATGGCAACAAATCTGGAAAAGAAGCTAAAAATTACCTACAGACAGAACAGGAAATAAATAAATAAATAAAGGGAATTTGGTTGCACCAATCTTATTAAAAAGGAAAAAGAAAAAGAAAGAAAGAAGAAGAAGACTCCCAATTTGTAGGACAGAGGTTCATACTTGTTCAAATATATAGTTGGCAGAAGCGTCTCCTCATTTCTGCTAATCCCTTCATTTTGTAAAATGAAAAGAATAAACATAAGCTACAAACATGGTCCATTACTTAACAATAAATTGTAAAAACAATAGAGTTATATGCATAATATAAGTTAGAATAGCAGAACATGGTTGAGATAAGCATATTAAACAATAAGAAATTTATCAAGAAATGAAAGAGGACCGTATCAGAATGCAATAACCGTTGATAAAATCTTTCCCCTGTTATTAGGTTCATATAAGATATAGATTTCATGCTTGCGTTTATTTATCACAATGATTTCATTTGCAAAGATGGATATGGGAGTCAAATCCATGTCCCAAAACTACGTTACATGGACTTTGGTACGTGTGTCGGGTGTATGTATGTGTCTAAGGATCAAACTTATCAAATCCCTAAATCCAATGACACGGGAGAAGTCTATATATATATATATATATATGACACAGTAATTTTTTTCTACAGTAGAATAATATTTTCACTCGTTAAAAAGCAAAATGAACATAATAAAAGAGTTTTATGTACAATTATATAACAAATTGGATTATTAAATATGCTTGTTAAGTGCATGTCTATACGATACCCATGTCCGAGTAGCATAACCGACATGGGTTCTTCATGCATTTTTTAAGTCTCTATCTAACATAGTCCAAAAAAGTAACTCTTTGGAATCAAGAAGCGAGAACATGATTATACACACACATATAAGCATATTTGTGGACAATATTTCCATAGTTGGTGGGCAACTTTGTGAAAATTTCAAGTTATAAATTACATGAGGAATTACATAAAACTACACAATAGAGAGGCTTTTTGGAAAATGATAAACTGCAGGAGAAAATAAAAGAGAAGAATGCTTGTAAAGGTTATTATAGCTCATAGTTGCCCCCTTTCAAGTTCAAATCAAATGCAAATTAGGGACTCAAAGCCTCCAAATCAATGGAGCAGACACATCTGCTGATCTATGAAGAATCCTTAGCACTCCAAGTCCATCGAAAAACCTTAGTTCTGAGATTTTATGTTGAAGAAAACTGAAAAGATATGTGAAGAAGAAGAAGAAGATAAAAGTCCTGGTGGATGGCATCTACAGCAACATCTTTAACACGTGCAGGACTGCAGGAGCAGTATTTTCCTGTAATTTTTTTTACCTCCTTATCTTTTCTGTTTCTCACATTTTTAGGTAGACAGGCCCATGCAATTTAGGTCAGATGGTCACCCTAGAGCTGGCCCTGTCTGGCATATATCATAGATTTATCATGAATCCATAATTGATATCAAAGATTAAAGATTTACATATAGACACTCGTCTTTTGGGAAGAGAGAGACAGAGAGAAGAACATCCATGTAGAAACTAGAAACTATTCCTTACCCAGATGGTATGTTTTTGTTGCTGGCAAGACTGATGCTGCATGTTCTGCAAGAGCAAGACCAGCCCTCAAGATGGGAATGATCTGCAAAACTAAACCAGTAGTAACTCAATCGAAAGCTACACAAAAAGACTCTAATCCGGCAAGGTAACATTAGTTTTAAAATAAAATTTAATAGGCATGCCCAAAATATGTTGCAACAAGAGTATCATGAGGGATTCCTTAGACAAAGTATGCAACCATCAGCTTCAAAACTGATACAGAAAAGATAGCATACACAAACCACACACACTTTTTTTTGATAAGTTACACAAACCACACACACCAAAAAAAAAAAACTAAAAACAAAAACAACAACAACATATTAAAAGTAGAAACACAGACAGAGTGCACTAACCGCTACAGGTTCTCTTGGATCAATAAATTCTACAGAAGCAACACCCATTGGTGACTGAATCTCCCCTGTGATAGTGGGCTGGCATCAATTGGACCATATCAACATAAGTCAAAATGTCCATAAGCACATAGAAAAGGGAATCAATTAGGTGAGGAATAAGATTCTCCACAGATAACATAACCATCGTAGCATCTATTTTTCCTATAATTATGTATTGACATATACCCAGTGAAATATAAAGAAAAGGTAATTTTAGCTAAAGCAATAAATGGAAGCATATGATAAGTTGATAACATCTAATGAAAACGTGATGAAAATTTATAGGAGGATGTTAACAAAATTATGAGTGGTTAGGAAGGAAAAATATATAGGGGTCAAAAAAATTACTGGAGTGGCCCCACAAAGCAACAGAATTTCGTTTGAGAGTCACAACATTAATTATAAAAAAATTCAATGGAACATCCTGCAACAGATCACTAGAGCGGTTGAGCTACACAAAACAATTAAATTTTAGTGCAGAAATATTTAGTCTATTTAGCTTTATCTGGCTTACGTTTGAATAGCTTTATCTGGCTTACGTTTGAATAAGAAATTTGCCCTTTTACTTTGGAGCTACACATTTTCAATTTAGGAATTCGTTCTTTACACTCATGTTGTGTTTGAGAGCACTGAATCAGTGCTTCGAAAATGGAATTGGAAAAAATTTAGTTCAAACATGGTATTACACATTTTAATTCAAGTTGCTTCAAAATACTTTGGCTATAAAAGATATATAAAGACTTGTGATTTTATCCGTAGAAGTATGTTACCTGGGTTATGGGGGAGAGGAAAAAAAAAAAAAAAAAAAGAATATATATAAATATGTATGTGAATTATGTGTTTCTGGGGAGAGAGGTTTTTTTAAGCTACGACTTGGCGGAAAGCTCATCCTGGCTCACAATATTGTAATGCACATTACATACCTTATATATTTCTATTCTCTTAAAAGTAGAAGAAACGAGTGTTATTCTATTGGTTGATCTTTTAAGATGAACACATTAAAAATTTGGGTTCAAATTCACATTAGGCAAAGTGAACACTCTTTGGATCATTTAATATGGGCTAGGCCACACTTGGTCAGCAGATAGTCCGACAGGATGTTGATTTCAAGCCTATAAAAGTTAGCAGAAAATGGGCTGAGCTTGGACATTAGGCGAAGAATTTTTATTTGGCTTGACTTGATAGATGTAGGCCCCCAGCTCAAACTACCCTGATTGAAAGGCCTACCCTCAAATCTTTTATCAAATGCCAACAATTCCATTGCACACCTTTTTATAGAGGACTCAATTTATTTAAATGAAAGCAAATTAAGCAATCCTTTATGCCTTGTACATTTCCTACCAGTCAATATTCATTACATTTCTTTATCTATCTGTTATATCCATCATCCATCCAACTCACTGGTTTTAACAGCATCATTGCCTATTTAAAATACTACATTCAACAAAATCTCCCAAATAAACCTTTCTATAAAATATAACAAAATAGCATCCATAAAATAACAACTTACCAACCAATCTCTTGATGCTTCATAAATAAGCAGCCTACCCAACTCAGCCATTGCATTCTCTATAGCAATAATAATAACAAATATATCAATGACTGAATATATATATATATAACTCATAACTTGTAAGCTAATATGAGAAACCTCAGCAAAATTACACCACCAATTATGTCGTGATACATTAACTTTTTTTCTTTTTCTATTAGGTGATACACGAAAATGCAGTTATTTTTAAATGAAAGGGTATGTTGTCTGATCATTCTTTTGTGGGTTTATCCAAATTCAATAAGTTGAATGGATAAAACTATGTATACATATCAAAAACCAAAAGAAGAAGTGGAAGACTTCTAATTTTGCCAAATAGTTACAAGTATAGGAGCAACTTGTTCCTAATCAACTCAAAAATGAGAACCAACCGAACTTTATTGGATTGCCCTGCTTCAAGTCCAATAGGATTTAATTTTGGTAATCTACAGGTTCTGTTAAATAAAATCCACAACTTTGATTACCTAATGCCATGGCTTAGATAAACAGATAAAACAACAAATTTAGAAAGTAATTCCCAATTGAAGGCAAATCTTAATAAAAGGTTGGCTTTGCCCCTACTTAAAGAGACCCAGATAAGGCTAGTTGTGTCCAAAAATTCAATAGATTAATAAAGTAAAAATACTTTCCTCGGCAAGTAAAATAGAAATATGATTTTCTTTACCGATTATTGAAAAAGTGGTAGTTTATTGACACAAGGACTAGAGAAGTGTGTTTGGAATTGAGCATTTGAAATGCTCCTTGTACCGTTACACTTCCAAGGAACACCAACTAGCACAGCTTTTTGAATCAACAGGTAACGGCTGACTTAGAGATACACTTATTTCATTACTGATTCTTTTTCCTCTTTTTTTTTTTCCCTTCTATATTCACTTATATGCACAGCTTTTTTTCACATAATCCAAAAAAGAATTACAAATCAGCTGCAAAAATTACAATTGTATACTACTTAACAAAAAAATAAAAAAGGAAGAAAAATCAATCCAGTGTCTGGAATTTTCACTTACTAAAGATTGGACAAGGAGTCTGTTCATTTCTAAGAATTGAAACCCAATGCTTGATCAACGGATGTGGCGGAACAATAACCTTCAAGTCCAATCAAAAAACTATCAGCTAAGTTAACTAAATCTCTGTTTGGTTACTGAGAACATGCAAGAAACAGTAACAAACTAAATCAACGTCTGGAACTTCCTACCAGTGAAACAAAACAAGGGAAAACCAAAATCAATTTTTTCAAGTTGTGTTTGGTGACATGGAATTAGACCCTTGTAATTGAAATTGGTGGAATTGGAGAAAATTTTGGTTCAATTTTCTGAGTTGCTTTTCTCCAACTCTGCCAATTTCAAAGGTCCAATTCCATGCATGCCAAACATAGCCTTAGTAACAACGGAGTAACTTTCAGTTGGACACCAAACCACAAAAAGCATAAAAACTAAAATTCAAAACTCTCTTTTTTCCTCTTACTTCCATGCATTTTCTTAGTAACCAAAAGAAGGGTTCAGGAACTGACCAGCATTCTATTTTCAGAGATGGACGTCCTTTCCGTCGTTGTTTGGCACTTCACGGACATAAATCTACGGCGACGACTGCTTGAGTATGAAATCTTCTGTAAGCAAATAGATGAATTAGGGTTTTTAGAGGTGTTAAAAGGAAACATAGGCGATTGAAATAAATAACTACTTACCTTATTGAGATTGATTGAGGGAACAAGATTTAGTGTGGGAAGGTTTTGTCGGTAATATAGTCCCGATAAAAGCGGCGCATCGGAAGGGCATCGGAGGGGAGAACTCATACGCAACGCCATTTTGCGTTTGGTAATGTTAATATTAATAATTAATTGTACAAGTGAAAAAGGCCTCGAAAGCATTCGGTCGGATGAAGAAGGGTCACACGGAGGCTATGGAGAGAACGCCTTCACCTCAACATTACGTATATTTCATAGAGTAAATACTATTTACCATAAATATAAGAAATGACATAATTATCTTTTTAAGTAGGGGTAAATTTACATGACATAATTGTAAAATTATATTTTTTCTTTGATTTTTTTTTTTTTTTTTTTAGAATACATGTATCAACCCCATAGTACACGGAGTTTGAAAGTGAAACCTCAAAGATTTACCTTGGAATCCCTGCTAACTCCGCTATACCTCCTAGAGACTATTTTTTTTGAAGAGTAACGATGTTCTCTCCAATCAAATTGACCTATTTCTAATCCGAATCCTAGGTGTAATTGTCACCTAATTACCTAAATTGTTGATTTTTCTTTGCATGCTAAAGATACTAAAAATAAATAAAATATGAAAAGAATCTGAAGAGGTTTTGACGACCCCTCTCCTTCTTTCTAATTTCACCACAATGGTATCTTCGTTTTGCTTCTTCCTTCATTCTTTCTCTCTCTGAATAGAATTAATGCATGATTCAGGAATGTTGACAATTATATCCTCTAATAAATGTGAGTTGTGTTCATCCAAGTGATTATATTCAACATTATTTTTTGCTTATATATGATCTGCTAAAAGAGTCGTCCATATATGATCCACTTTGTAATGAACTTTTGAAGGTTTTTTTTTTTTTTTTTCTTATCAAATCCCCAAAACTGATACAATATACAGAAATAAAAAAGAAAAATAAATAAAAAATACCACTGAAAGATAGATAGGGGTCGTCAAATCGTCTTCAACATTTTTCCATATTTTATATTTTTATTTATTTTTGGTATCTTTAGCACAAAAAAAAATATCAACAGTTTAGGTAATTGGTGGCAATTACAGGTAGGATTCACACTAGGAGTAGGCTAATTTGATCGGACAGAAAATAATAATAGGAAAAACCACACTCACAGAGTTAGGGACCTTAAATAACAAAATAGTCTATTTAAAAAGTTCATTTTTCACTTTGATTGAATTAAGTAAAATAATTACATATGCATTAACAACTATTTCCAAAGTCCAAACACTTATTCCAAAATACTAAAAATTATTCCCCTAAAATTAAGTACTTTCTTTAAATAATTTATTTCCTTTAACATTGAACTATATTACTACAACAGTCTCACACACAGGCACAAACACACGATAACTTGTACAAATAAAAATATAATTAAACTCAAGAATATATAAATCGTTTTTGCTATGGTGCATGCCTTGAGACGATTATCAATTTTTTTGCTCAATTAATTACACTTGTTTTATAAAACAAAAACAAAAAATTGATTGCTGGTTACATTTTTCCTCTTTCACCATTTAGTTTTTTCATGACCTCTCTATCTCATGTGTGTACTGTATGTGTGTGTGTGTGTGTATATATATATGTATATAGGATGAATTTCCACTTAGTAAAAAAAATATATATATATATCTATACATAATGAATTTTCACTAAATTATTTGTATATTTCTAAATTGATATTTGTAGGTTTGAACCATATGAATTAGGCGATATTCGTTAATATGTTTTATTATTTTATACAATTGAATTTTCACTAAAAGTTTTTTGCACAAAATTTATAATATATATATGTGTTGTTTTTTATTTTATTTATTTTGGCAATATATACACCATATGCAAAAATGTCAAATTGAAAGTCAATTCAGAAATCTTGTTTTTCTAAACTTTATGAATGAAAGAATTATTTGACTTAGAAAAGATATTTTGGTATTTTGAAATAAGAATTTAGAGGATATTTTGGACCTACATAATAGTTTTTAATATATATGTAATTATTTTACCTAATTCGACCAAATTGAAAAATTAACTTTGAAAATAGACTAATTTGTTATTTAAGGATCCTAAATCTACTTAAGTGTAGTTTTCACATAATAATAAGTAACGCAATAATAATAATATGTTAAAAAATTGCTCCCTTTCTTTTTGATCGTGTAAATGAACTAAATTGGAACAATCTATATAAACTTGTTTATTAAACTAATTTTCTAAATTCATTTTCACTTCTGAATACATGTTTAATTTATTTCTTTTTAAGCGTTTGAAATTTGTACATATTATTGATACCAAAAGTAATAAACTATAATTTCAAGAACTAAGTGTGAACCAAGCAGACCTAATCACAACCATTTTACAAAAAAGATAAAACGATACAGGGAAACCCACAATACTTGTTGTCACCATTCTCGCAACAATTTTTGAAAAATAAAATTATTGAAACACAATGGAAATAATTATAAAGCGTATATTAAAAGAAAATTAAAGAAGTAGAAGGAAAATCACAAATAAAAAGAAAAAGGAAAAAAAAATAAATGACACGACTTTGAAAGAAACCCATTAGACCATGAATGAATAAGGAAAATTTGACCATTTTATAAAAGGAAATTAAAGAAATTTAAAGAGTAAATGAAGGGAAAAAAGGAAAATAAGAGAATTTTGGAAATTTAGGGGCATAATATACAAATGAAGAAACCAATTAGACTGTGAATGAATAAAGAAAATCTGAAATTTTTTAAAAGAAAATTAAAGAAATTTAAAGAGGAAATGAGGGAAAAAAAAAAGAAGAAGAAGGGAAAAGTAAGATAATTTTAGAAATTTAGGGGCATAATATACAAATGTCTATGGATGCATGTCATTGCCTTCAATAATCAAAGGTTTTTCCAATGTAATACCGTTTCCGAAAAGAGGCCAAAATCGAAAACATAAAATTGATGCTTTTGATTGCTTCCCCACGGTATCAAAAAGGTACTAAGATTCTCTGCTGTAAACGAGTCGTGTTGTACCCATGTTGTAGTGAAAAAAGATATTTTTAAAAAATTGGTAACTTTAGAGTCCCACAGAAAAATGAACTGACGTTAAAAAAAATAAAATAGAAAGAAAAAAAAAAAGAAAAAAAAAAGGGAAAATAAAATATCCTTTTATGCTTCAGCGCCTCCCTACCAAAATAAAATAAAAATAAGAAAAAAAAAAAAAAAAAAAAAAAGGCCTCCCTCCCTCGTCACCGTCTCGTACGCCATCTCCCTCTCTCGTCACAGTGTACCTCAAAATAACATAGCTGTACTAAGTTGTTCAGGCATTACCTAAAAAATAAAATAGAAAAGAAAAGAAATATATATATATATATATTCTCAACACTTTTTTTTTTTCCTATTTCTCAACACATTTAATATTTTTCTCAACTTATTTAATTTTGTTCTCAACATTTTTTAATCTTTTTATCAATACATTTTAGTCTTATTCTCAACACTTTTAATTTTGTTATCAATACTTTTTAATCTTTTTCTAAACACCTTAAATCTTATCCTCAACAATTTTTAATCTTTTTCTCAACACATTTAATGTTGTTATCAATACATTTAATTTTGTTCTTAACACTTTTTAATCTTGTTTTAAAAAATATTGAGATAAAGATTAAAAAGTATTGAGGTAATGATTAAAAAGTGTTGAATTAGAGATTAAAGGTGTTGAAAACAATATTAAATGGCGTTGGGAATAAGATTAAAAAGTGTTGAAAACAAGATTAAATGTGTTAATAACAAGATTAAAAAGTGTTGTGAACAAGATTAAATGTATTGATAACAACATTAAATGTGTTGAGAAAAAAATTAAAAATTGTTGAGAAAAATATTAAAAGTGTTGAGAACAGGATTAAAAGTGTTGAAAATAAAATTAAAAGGTGTTGATAAAAAGATTAAAAAATATTAAGAACAAAATTAAATAAGTTGAGAAAAAAGATTAAAGGTATTGAGAAAAAAAAAAATAAAAAAATAAGTTTTGATAACAAGATTGAAGGTATCGAAAAAAAAGATTAAAAAGTGTTGAGTGCGGGATTTAAGATGTTTAGAAAAAGATTACTATTAAAGGTGTTGATAAAAAGATAAAAAAGTTGAGAATAAAATTTAAGGTATTGATAAAAATATTAAAAAGTATTGAGAACAAAATTAAAGGTGTTGAGAAAAATATTAAAAAGTTTTGAGAACAAGATTAAAGATGTTGAGAAAAAAATTATTATTATTTCATGTTGTAATCGAGATAATATTGGGTTTGTTAATAAAAAAGAATAAGGAAATCACTATTAGAACCACCCTTTTGTGTACCTAAGGAGTTGTACATTTTTCAATAATTGCCTTGTATTATGAAGTTTTGCATCATATATAATCTTCATTCAGCCTTTCTTACAAAAAGGTGTTGAAAACAAAATTAAATGTATTGAGTTAAAAATTAAAAGTGTTGAGATAAAGATTAAAAGGTATTGAGTTAATGATTAATAGTGTTGAGCTACAGATTAAAGATGTTGAAAATAAGATTAAATTATGTTGAGAACAAGATTAAAGGTGTTGAGAAAAAAAGATTAAAAAATGTTGAAAGATACTGAGGTAAAAATTAAAAGTTATTGAAGTAAAAATTAAAAGTGTTAAGATAAAGATTAAAATGTATTGAGGTAATGATTAAAATTTGTTGAGTTAGATATTAAAGGTGTTGAAAATAAGATTAAATGGTGTTGAGAACAAAATTAAAAAGTGTTGATAACAAGATTAAAAAGTGTTGAGAATAATATTAAATATATTGATAACGACATTAAATGTGTCGAGAAAAAAATTAAAAATTGTTGAGGATAAGATTTAAGGTGTTGAGAAAAATATTAAAAAGTGTTGAGAATAAGATTAAAAGTGTTGAAAATAAGATTAAAATGTATTGATTAAAAGATTAAAAAGTATTGCGAATAAAATTAAATAAGTTGAGAAAAAGAAAAAAAAAAAAAATTTGTTGAGAACACGATTAAAGAGGTTGAGAATAAGATTAAAGGTGTTGTAAAATAAAAAATAATAAAAAAAGTGTTTTGATAACAAGATTGAAGATGTTGAGAAAAAAGATTAAAAAGTGTTGAGAACAAAATTAGAGGTGTTGAGAAAAAATATACAAAGTGTTATCTTTAAATGTGA